GGCAGTCGACGTCGCGGCGGCGGTTCGATTCCTCGGACAGCGACGATGAGGATGACCTGGACGACGCGCTGACGGAGAGCGACGTGGACGGGGGCGCCGAGGCCGACGGGGACGGCGACGCCGGCGCCTTGGATGGCGCGGACGCCCCGCCCGCGCCGGCGTGCAGCGGCGGCAGCGGCGGCAGCGCCGTGCACGTAAAGCCGGAGCCGTGCGCCCTGGGCGCGCCGGAGGTCGCCACGGCAGCCGCTGGGCCGGGGCCGGCCGCGGCGTGCGGCGCGGGCCGCGATCAGCATATGATGGGCGGCGAGAGCGATGCGGGCGACGGCCGCGGCGGCGGTGAGAGCGGAGGCGGCGGCGGCGGCGGCGACGATCATGGGGCCCACCCGCACGCTGCCGAAGAGGAGGCCGCCGGCATGGTCGGGCGCGCCGCGGACAGCGTGCTCGCCAGCGCGCGGCGGCGCCTGGCGGCGCGCAAGCAGCAGCAGCAGGCCGGTTACGGCGGCCCCGCGGCGTTTGCGCCGCTCTCGCCGCCGCGGCGGCCGCCCCGCGGGCCCGCTCCGCTCCCGGCCGCGGCGGCCTGTGGCGGCATGAGCACGCCCAAGAAGGGCGCGGGCCGCGTGCTGGACAGCCCGGGCGCGGGCATCATGTCGCCGAGCCTGATGTCGCCGCCGGCCAGCGCGCAGCGCCTGAGCGCCGGCGGCGGCGGCGGCTACGAGGGCGGCGAGCCCGCGGGGTGGCAGCTAGCGCAGGCGCAGGGCCTGGGCGACGAGGAGGCGGCCGGCGCGGAGACGCTGCTGCAGATGGCAACGGTCTTCCGCCGCGGCAGCGGCGACCTCGAGCCGCCCGGCGCGGCGTCGCTGCGTCGCAGCGACTTCATAACAGGCAACACGCCCACGAAGCGCAGCCCGGGGCGGCGCCCCGAGACGCGGCTGTCGGACGACCTGTCGCCGAGCCCGTTCAAAAAGGCGCGCAGCTTCACGGGGGCGGGCGGCGAGCTGCTGGAGGGGGCGCTGCCAGATTTCCGGCGCCGCATGGCCGCGGCCGCCGCCGCCGCGGACGGCGACGGCGACGGCCTCGCGGGCGCCGCCGACGCGGCTGCCCCGCACGGCGGC